TTTGCGGGCTTCACGTGTCGCTTTGGAGGCAGCGATGCGGTTGGCTTCGTATATCGCAGCGCCTGTCTTCACTGTCCTCCTCCAGGTCGGTCGATCGAGTGCGAGCTCCTCCCAGTTGGTGGGGTTGATTTGCAGGCATTTCAGGGAGGACTTCAGGGTATCCTTGTAACGGCGAATCTGGCCTCCTTGACGGCGAGAACCCGTCGCGACGTCTCCGTAGAAGAGTCGTTCGGGTAGTCGCTCGTCGTCCATGCGCACCAGGTGGCCGCTCCAGCGCAGCTGCATTTGCCTCAGTATGGCGTAGATGCTGAGGATTCCCGTCCGTTCCAGCACATCAGTGTCGGGGATTCGATCCTGCCACTTTAGCCTCAGGATGCGACGAAGACAACTGAGGTGGAAGTGGTTCAGACGACGCGCCTGCTTTGCGTACACCGTCCAAGTCTCCGCTCCATACAGTAGTGTCGGCAGGATGACGGCCTTGTGCATCTTCAGCTTGGTGCAAAGCTGAAGACCGTGGCGATTCCAAACTGTGTTTTCAAGACGACCGAAGGCTTGACTGGCTTTCGAGATCCTGTTGGCGACTTCGTCGTCGATCTTGGTGTTGCGGAGAGAGTACTGTCCAGGTACGGGAAGTTCTCCACCACTTGCAGTTGGGTTCCGTTTACGCTGATTTGCGGCGGCGCGTTGGGGGCTGCGGCTGAGTTGGGTGGCGGTTGGTGCATCACCACCGTCTTCTGCGTGTTAATGACCAGACCGAAGTTCTCGCAGGCGGCGGAGAACAGGTCCATGCTCCGTTGCATCTCCTCTTCCGAGGTGGTGTTCAGGGCGCAGTCATCGGCGAAGAGGAGTTCGTGAACGGTGGTTGTGGATACGCGCGATTGGAAGTGCATTCGCCGTGGATTCAGGAGGTGACCGTCCGTCCTGTAGGCGATTCGGATCCCGGGGCGTTCGTCGCGGTAGGCGTCCATCAGCATGGCAGAGAGCATAAGACTGAAGAGGGTAGGCGCCAGTACGCAGCCCTGCTTCACTCCATTGGTCACTGCGAATGCCTCTGAGACAGCTCCGTTGTCCGTGACTCGCGCCATCATACCGTCGTGCAGCTGACGCACCATCTGAGTGAATCGCTCCGGACAGTCGAATTTCTGCATGATCTTCCACAGTCCTTCCCGATTCACCGTGTCGAAGGCTTTCGTCAGGTCCACGAAGGTAGAGTACAGGTGGGTCCGCATCTACTGACACTTCTCCTGAAGTTGACGGACGGCGAAGATCTTATCCGCGGTCCCACGATGACGACGGAAGCCGCATTGACTTTCCGGCAGAAGGCCCTGTTCCAGATGGTTATTGAGGCGGTTGAGAAGGATGTGGGCGAAGATCTTCCCGGCGATGTTCAGCAGGGAGATGCTGCGGTGATTGTCGCAGACTTGGCGATTCCCTTTGCGCTTGTAGAGATGCACGATGGTTGCGTGTTTGAAATCTTGCGGGACTTCACCTTGACGCCACATCTCTTGGAAGAGTGCAGTCAGGTGATCCATCAGTTGGGGACCTCCGTGCTTGTAGACCTCAGCAGGGATTGCGTCCGATCCGGGTGCTTTCCCGCTGGAGAGCTGCTGCACGGCCCTGATGGTCTCCTGGAGAGATGGTGGGAGGTCGAGGTCCACGTTGGTCTCCGCTTGCGGCAAACGCTTGATGGCGGCGTCGGAGATGACGGAGGGGCGGTTGAGGACGCCTCGGAAGTGCTCGGCCCATCGCTGCAGGATTTGCGTCTTCTCAGTCAGGAGAGTTCTGCCGTCGGCGCTGAGGAGGGGAGCAGTGCCCTTCGTCGTCGGACCGTAGACAGCTTTGATCGCAGAGAAGAAATTCTTCCATTCGTTGCGGTCCGCGTACCCTTGGATCTCGTCAGCTTTGCGAATGGTCCAGGCGTCCTGCATCTCGCGCAGTCGTTGCTGAAGTTGGCGGCGGCTGCGGTAGAAGGCAGCTTTGGTGGCATCAGTGGGGTGATCTACGTAGACTTTGTGTAGGCGGTTCTTCGCAGCTAGCAGATTTCTGATGGCGGCGTCGTTGTCGTCGAACCAGTCCTGGTGTTGGCGGGGAGCGCGACCGAGGACGGCGAGCGCCGTCGAATGGACCGTGTCTCGCAGTTGACACCAGCGGTTCTCCACGGAGGCGTTCTCGGCAGCGGCGGCATCGGCGATGGGGAGGTTGTCTAGCCATTGAGCTAGCTCATTGCTGAAATGAAGATGGTGAGCGGGCAAAGATAATAAGGCAACATTTAGCTTACCTGGGGGTCGCTTACCTTGTGGTCTCCTGCGAGGCTCTACGCGAATAGGCATCTTCGAGATGACGAGGCGATGGTCGGTCCACCCGTCAGCACCCGCGATCGCCTTCGTCACCAGCACGTCCCGCTGATCTCGCCTCCGGACGAGGACATAGTCCAGCAGGTGCCACTGACGCGACCGAGGATGCCTCCAGGTGGCCTTCTCTCGCTCCGGCAGACAGAAGAAGGTATTCGTCAGGGTGAGGCGGTGTTCTGCGCAGGTGCGGAGAAGCAGCAGGCCATTGTGGTTTGAGCCGCGGAGACTGTGGGGACCCAGCACTCCTCTTCAGGCAGTATGGTCTGTGCCGACGCGGGCGTTGAAGTCACCAAGGACAATCAACTTGTCCGCCTTCGACACAGTCGCCAAGAGGGCGTGCAGGTCCTCGTAGAATTTGTCTCTGACGGCGTCGGGGTTGGTCATCGTCGGAGCGTAGCGCTGATGATGGTGGCGAATTTGCCTCCCCAGAGAGGCAGGTGGAGGCTCATCAGGCGATCGTTGATGCCCTGCGGCAAACAGGGCAGTCGTCCCACGATGTCGTTCCGAATGGCGAAGGCGACGCCCGCGTCTCGTCGCTCTGCCCTGGGTCGACCGCTCCAGAAGAAGGTGTAGCCGGCACCTGCCTCCTCCAGTTGGCCTTGTTCGGAGAATCGGGTCTCGCTGAATGCGGCGATGTCCACCTTGTAGCGCGCCAGTTCTCGTGCCACTAGCGTCGTCCTCCGTTCCGGTCGGTTGCTCCTCGGATTGTCTAAAAGGAAACGAGTATTCCAGGCTGCCAGAGTGAGCGGGCTCACCCTGCCAGTCTGGTGACAACGAGTGGGGCGACGGGAAGGAGATGGAGAAGAAGGTGACGAAGGAGAAGAATAGGCAGAGGAAGAGGAAGAAGAAGTAGGATGAGGAGAATGAGTATGGTTGTGCTTGTTTTTGTTATTGGTATTGTTGTTGTTTGGATTTTGATTGTTTCGACCATGATTAGACGTCTGCGGCCCTGGCTAGCCTGGAGACGGCGTGGTACTCAGCAATGTTTAGGCCACCTTTTCTAGGCCCTTCCCCTCGTGGGGGCTGGCAGTGCCATCCCTGAATAGGGCTGCCATGTGCCGTTTTGGCACGGCCGAACTCCACTATGGGACCACGACTTCGGGTTGTAGTGGAGAGCGACTCGAATTCGCCGTAAGCCGCGGTCTCCGACGGCGTAGGTGGGCGCGTCAAGGCAATGTCGATGTGGAGATCCATCCCGTCACCGGCTGTCCAGCGGCGTGCAGAGACGAACCACGTCACGACGGTGCCGACGCAAGGTTCCATCCGACCTTCCATCAAGCGGAATCCGCAAACCCTGTGCACACGGCACAGCGCACAGGGCCCCCTCACCTGGTTTAGCCCGCCGGTCGAGACGGTTGCCCGGGGTGTGGCCGCTGAGCAGAGTCCAGCTACGTGGAGTCACAGGTGA